AGAACTGTCACCAAACGACTTGACATTCTTCAAATATGCTCCTGTCACATCATGTGATGTGGAACGAAGTTTTTCCAAATACAAAACTATCCTTAGTGATAATCGGCGATCTTTCAAATTTGAAAATTTGAAAATGCATGTAGTTATAAATTGCAATTGTAACAGTGAAAATTGAGACGTGAGTAACTCAGTGAAAATTAAGACGTGAATAGCTTGTGTTCTTTTAAATGGTGTTTTTAGATAACAGAGTTAAGTTAGTGTTCATACCATGTGCGCCAGTGTTTGTCTAAAATATGAACGCAAATATCAGTATTAAAAAGAAACAATGAATGGTTTAATCCAGTACGAAAAGTCGAAATTCCACCAGTTTTCTTTCCTTCAGAGACATAATAGGGCTAATTTGGTAAGTAGGACCTACTATCATATATTCATCATCTTTATTCATAAACTCTAGTAAAAGCTGTAATTAAAATTGTGAAATTTTATGTCCCATTTAATACTGAAGGTCATATTTTATACTTTTTAGGTCATATTTGACATAATTTTGGGTCATAAGTGCATGCATATATTTATAGTTTTTAGGTCATAAAAATCCGGGCCCTATTTATAACCTTTCCTCTGCTGACTCCTGTCTTTGGGGTAAGCTCCGCCTCTTAATTAGAGCGAATATTCCCCCAAAGGTCCGTCCTGGTTGGTCATCTCGTACAGAGGGTTGGATCTCCTCAGGCGGTCTTGCTGAATCGGCTCTCTGTACTCCTTCCGTACAACGGTCTGTTCAGCGTAAATCAGCAGTCTAAGCAATGCAACAGTTTTCTACTGACGTTTCTACTTCCTGCATTCTACTACAAATATTAACCCTTCGTCTAACTTTTCTAACTGTGAACCCAAGATAACTTAATACTTAAAAGTTACAAAACCCTTGCTGAAATTCTACGGTATTACAAAGAATAAGACAAAAAAGAAACCAGAGTGACGTAGGCATCAAGAAAATCTTCATGCTGTTTTTATTGGCTTTATTTTTGAACCCTACAGATGGAGGTGACTTGTTCCTCCGAGACGTCGGCTGACTTTAAAGTAACTTCACGGTGTTCTAGCCGCCCCAGCTGATAGAACTCTTCGTAACCAAAGTTCTGAGAACCCCATACATGCTATTTTCGTGTACAAATTTCCCAGCGAAATTCCCATTGAAGCAGAAATTCGACATCGGCTTTCATGTGGCTTTCGTTCGTAAAACTAAATTATATTCCTTTCAAAGCGCATTTTTTAATGAGGAATGAGATATATTCTGTATTTAAGTGTGTTCAATTGCTTGTAGTACCTTTGCACCAGAAAGAGAAGAAAACTTTCATCTAAGGTACAAATTTACTGCTTTATACTGCGGAGTATTATCGTTAGAAATAGACATAGTCACGTGAGTGGTTAAAAGAGGGCGCTAAATAACTGGGACCAAAAAGGAAGCGAAATGTTTTCCTGATTGTAAAATGTTCATATTTAATTAGTGATGTCCCACAAGAATAATCGCTAACGAATTTCCTAAATATAAAATTAACCG